TTACTCTTCTCGGCTTCTGCCACTGTGGCATCCTCCCTTGGCTCCCTCTTGGAAATCCTGCGCGTTAACCACCAATAGGTTAACACATCTCTTTTCGCTTAACGCTAGTTAAGGGGGATCTGCAGTCGGCACCTGAACACAAGAGTTAGGAACCAGAAGCGGACTGCTGTGCGGGTGAACCTTAGAGGTGGACGTGCCTTCGCGGAAGTGATTGCGAATACGGTGGTGGAAGACCAGATACCCCAAGCTGGAAAGGTGGCGCGCCAAGGTGGCCCCGCGTGTCCTCGCGGTCACCCAGGCTCCCTGGAGCTCACTGTTCTCCCGGCGGAGGGCAGAGATGACCAGCGGCTGGGCCCAAGGACGGAGAGGGACGCACTGCAGAATCCAGAAGACAGAAGCTCCAGAATAGTGGTCGAGGGAAGTGGGGGAGGGACGTGGACCCCAGAAATACCGTATGACGGTCGGGAAGCATCAAGGGCCTACTTGCAGTTACTGGCCACGAACTTTCGCGAAAACGATTGAGCACGGCAGTTTGCCCCGCTCACTTTTGGTAGTGTAGGTGCAGGCACCAGGAAGGCAAACAAGCTGCGTTTAGTCACAGGTGGGGTTTTACCAAGTGCACACGGCTAAGCAAGAGGACAGGGAGTTCAGGGAGACTGTGAAGGAATGTCCTAACAGGTGAGCATGGAATTCAAGCTGGGAGAAGGAGAAAGGACAGGCACGAAGGAAGTGAAGGACAGTCCGCACCGGGATTCTTAAGGGAATACACCGGAAGGAGGTGGCACCGGCAGGGTATTTAAAGTGCTGAGGGCACTGTAAGATGTGCGTGTTCGGTAGCAACAAGGTCTAGGATCTGATCAGAGGAGGGGCTGAGGTAAAAGGGAGGACCAGAAAGGAAAGGAGAGGGTGAGGTACTGGAAAGATCAGCCATTGCAATCACCAGGAATTAAGAACAATGTTGAACAGGGGCGCCTGGGTGGCTCAGTCAGTTAAGCGTCTGCCTGTTGATTTCGGCTCAGGCCGTGGTCTCACAGTTCATGCGATTGAGCCCCACACCCCACACCACGCTCCAAGCTGAGAACGAGGAGCCTGCTTGGGATTCTCTACCTCTCCCTCCCTCTCTCAAAATAAACTTGAAGAAAAAAAAAGAAGAAGAACATTGAAGAGAACGACAGCAGGCCGGCAGCTAAAAGCTTCCAGGAATAATGGCATGGGACCCAGAAGCCCAGCAGTACAGCCTGATGACATGAGATTCAAAGGTGGTTTTTAGGAGAGCAGAGGGGCGAAGAATGGTCTGGAACGGGCAAAGAGAAATAAAGAGGATCCAGGGTATCCGGTATCAGCAGCGTCAAAGAAAAGGGGCCACCCTGTCGGGTTGGGGAAGCAGAATCCTCAAGGAACAGGCAGGTTTGGACCAGAGCACAAAGATACAGACAATGTTCTGAGAGGCTGAGCGTACGGGACATTTTGCTCCCAGTGGATGGGCCGTTTCAGGGAACAGAGCAAAGGAAGGTTTTCAGGAGTTGAAGTAAGAGATGAAGACAACAGGGGGATGCACAGAGGCCTAGAGGACTAAATTTGCAAGAAGCGGCGCTATCCTGGGAGTTCAGGGCTCCTCGCGGCGACTGGGGGAAGCCTGTGGTGCGTGCGGAGACGGCCCCCGGGCTCAGGACTAGAAGGCTGGGGAACCGGAGGTTGGGGTGTATGGGTCTGGAGTCCTTCCTCGTTCCTGCCAGGACAGGCATGGAGGCCTGAGGCTGGGTAACCTTACTCCAAGTACCTGGTGCTCCCCCTTAACATGTGCTGATGAACGCATGGAACCCTAGGCTTCGGTTCTGGGAAATCTTCCGGAAGCATTTCTTGTAGCATTTGTTTCTCTCTTCCTCTCTCTCTTAGCGCCTGTCAGGTCACCTACACTGCACCCCTCTTTCTGCTGCTTTCACCTCTTTTTTGCTATGCTTCCCTGGGTGATTTCCTTGACTGTATTTTCCAGTGCTTATTCTCAGTCTCATTTCTGGTATCAACGGTTAGTTTTCAAGAGGTCTTTTTCCGTTCTCTGAATTTCCCTTTTTTGGAGCAAAAAGGTTTGCATCTGTTTCATAGATGCAAACCTCTTCTCCAAGCTTAGAATAAATTTGCTTCTTCCCACACAGTCTGTTCCAAGTGGGCTTTCTTTTTCCTTGCCCCGGCCTCTTTCACATCCTTGGCTATTTGTTTATATCTAAGAACGGAGCAATAAAAAGCTGGCTGGGGGGGCTGGGCACGGGGAACCTGGCTAAGAAGCTGTATGTGCACAGCTGGAATGTCTAAAGAGCCATTTCACTGAGGAATCGGATATGTCAGGATCATCGCTCTTTCCTCTCCCAAAGAAAGTTCTTCTGATTTCCAGCTGAGAAGGTACACAAATCCAGTGGGCAGCATTCTGGATGGAAGCGGGGGCAGAAGGCTAGAAGGGAGGGAGAAGCATTTGACATTCGGCATCGTACCCATGACCTCCAAAACTGTTTTACTGCTCCAGAGAATAGAGGGATAGGGGCGACCTGAGAATCTTAGTGCTTTGTAAAGACTTAGCAAATTCTCCTGTTCTTGTAGCCCCACCAGCACCCTCCACCTCCACAGAAACGTGAATCTTCAATTCCCAAGTCGCTGTGGGAAATCTGCCACATAGGACGGCTGCTCGGCATCCCCCAGTGCGGCTGTTCAAAGTCACAACTCTTCACCCGCCTTCCAGCCTCCAAACTGTTGGCATCATATTTTCAACGTCCTTGTAAGTTTGTGCCTTTTCATTGTTAACCATTTACCGTTTTACTGGGGTTTCAGGAGGCCATGGATGCTAACATGTCCAGCTACCATTTTCACTAAAAACTCTGCTGTGGATTTGATCTTTGCCAACTTTGATTTGGGTTTTCTGGGTCTGTTTTTCTTGTCTTTAGTTTTTGCTTCATTTGTTTCCCACCACCAAACACCATCCCCAGCTTTCTGAATTCAAGGCCTCAAACTCGTTTGCTAAAGAACGCATCCAAGCCTGCAAACACTGCTCTGAGCACCACCTTTTGTCACATCCCAGACCCTGTTGTATACTGTTCTTACCATTGTTCAGTTCCTGATCGTTTCCAGCAGCCAGTCTGTGCTACCTTGAACCCAAGAGCTCCTTGGAGGGGAATTAACTCATAATACGAACATATTTCTTCATTACTTCAGCCAAGAGGCAAACAGCAAAAGGTAGCCAATGTCAACCCCTGCAAGCCTCTGGCAGGGGAGACTTCTAGAACGCCTCAGAGCCACCTCAGACATCTTTGCCTCTCTTTCTTTCTTTCTTTCTTTCTTTCTTTCTTTCTTTCTTTCTTTTTCTTTCTTTCTTTCTTTCTTTTTCTTTCTTTCTTTCTTTCTCTTTCTCTCTTTCTCTCTCTCCCTCTTTCTCTATTTCTCTTTCTTTCTTTCCCTCTTTCTCTCTCTCTCTTTTCTTTCTCTCCCTACTGGCCATATTTCAGTTGCTTTCCTCTCTTCTTCTAAACCAACACCACCTGCCCTGCTTTTAGAGGTCTCTCTGTCTCTCTCTCGAAGATCCACTGTGAAATCAGGCAGTCTCCCCCAAACCCTGTATCAACATATCAACCTCCAAACAGCCCACAGCCATTTTCTGCTTAGAGCGTCTCTCTCAACGTATGTCTAGGCATCAGCTCAGATATCCAAAATTAGAACTTCTGGGAGTTAGGCTAGAAAATTACTCTTTTTACACCAGGTTATTCAGACACACGGTGAAGTTCAAGAGCCACTAATTTAAAGGTTTTTCTGTTAACTGCTGTGGAGAAACATCTAGGTAGCAAGAGCAACAGAAAAGAATAAAATGTATGACTGCTTCCATCAATGTTTAAGGAGTTACTTTAAATTAATGCTGATAATGCAGGACTCAAATTCTTTCTCCAGAAATTGCTTCGTACAGGCCTTTGCATCGTTGTAAAAGATCCCCGTCAAGGCCCAAACTAAGAGCAGTCCAAAATCCTGCTTCACTGACCTATCACATAAGCCTAGCCACTGACCCACCACACAGCTTCCTCTATGTCTAAAAAATAACCTTAGAGGCTTATTCAGAGTTCCCCCGAGTTGGCTTTACGCTGATGCCACTGCTTTCATAATTCGTCAAATTCATATTTACAATTCATGCTATCTGGAGCACACAGAGTGCAGGAGCCAAAGCTTGCAAACAGAAAACCAGAATGCCCACCGGGAAAAATGGACACAACACATGGAACGAAGACGAATACCTTGGTGAATATTTACTTAGGAAAAGTTAAAAAGAAACATCTAGATCTCAAGAGCAAAACTACAGGGGGAAAAAAAAAACCGTTTTGTGTTTAAAGACATGATTGCTCTCAGTCACATAAATGATCGCTATTACTGCATACACACGGTTGTTTTCCACTGGTTATTTCACATGACCTTTTGCACAGACACAGGAGACGCTCAATGACCCGCGCCGAGGGCAACATAACCTCAGTTCTGTTAATGGACCACCTTAGCCCGCTGAGCAATCTGCATTAATTTCTGAGTCCGCTGCTGGAAGCAGATCCCAGCGCTCTTCCCAGCCTGCCCCAAGTTCCTGGCAGCCTCCTGGCTTCCCCGGGGGCTGCCTGGCTCCAATCACAATGACCTAGCCCGGGCGGGGGGCGGGGGGGGGGAGGGGCGGGGGGGGGAGGGGCTCTCTCCCAGACACTCCAATGCAACAAAGTGTCCTACCAGCACTTCCAACATCAGCACCCCCACAGTGCAGATCCAGCCATTACTGTGAAAGCCTGACAGAGACCAGTGCAAAAGCCAAGTGGTTACACTTTCTACCGGAGGAAAAATCCACAAACAGAGTCTTTCAATATATGTAGATTGTAATGGAGTTTACGCCGAAACAACTGTAATGCATGTAAACGGAGAAAAAAAATACAAACAAAACAAGCGGGGCTGAAGATGTGCTGGGCCTAAGAGCCTCAAGGGTGCCGAGATAAAGCTCAGGACGGGTGTGGGGAAGGGGTCAGAATAACTGTGGAAGGCTTCACAGGGGGAGGAAGGCCCTGGAAGACACGCACTATCTGGACAGGTGAGGCAGGCATTCCGGATGCGGGCAGTAGCATGAACAAAGGCCCAGAGGTGGGGACAAGCACAGCATGTGGAAAGGTCAGTGAAGGCACGGCCACAGCTGGAGCAGGGCACGGGCCCTGGAGAGGAACAGCAGATAGGGCTGAAGAGGGGCACCGCGGACTCCTCAGGGATGGCCCGAGAACCTTGACGGCCTTCTTCTCCACAGGGTGCAATTTCTGGTGCTGAACAAAACTGCCATACCATTTGAACGCTCTCCCACACACCTTGCATTCGTAGGGCTTCTCTCCGGTGTGGACCCTCTGATGCTGGATGGAAGCTATCTTCTGAGTGAAGGCCTTGCCACACTCCTTGCACTGGTAGGGCTTCTCCCCTGTGTGAATCCTCTGGTGGACGATAAAGAGCGACCTACAGCCGAAAGCTTTCCAACACTCTTTGCATTTATAGAGTTTCTCCCCGGTGTGCAATCTCTGATGCTGGAGATACGCTGCGCTCCTGCGGAAGGCCTTTCCACACTCCTTGCACTCGTACGGCTTCTCTCCAGTGTGGATCCTCTGATGCTGCGTCAAGGCCGTGTTGGAACTCAAACCTTTGCCGCACTCCTTGCATTCGTAGGGCCCCTCTCCGATGTGGTTTTTCTCATGGACGATACAGTCATAGCTGGACTTGAAGGCTTTGCCGCATTCCTTACATTTGAAGGGCTTCTCCCCGGTGTGACTCATCTGGTGCCGAATCAGCTTCGAGTTGTACCTGAAGATTTTCCCACATTCTTTACACTCGTAGAACTTCATTCCCCCCCGAAGGATCAGATTCGGATTCAGGCTGAACGTCTGCCATGTCGCCTTGCTTTTAAAGTCAAACTGCTGGGAAACGTTTCTGAGAAGCCCTCCTCCTGGCTTTCTGGGCCACTCTGCCTCTTCAGAGGCTTCCCGCCTTCCAGCCGGCTCTTCGCTCCTGACCCGGGACTCACCACCTGCCCAAAGAAACCACAGGTGTTCCTGGTTACCACACCGGAAGGGGACCGGGATCCGGGGCTCCCCGTGTTCTCTTGTGGAACGTGACTTTAAAAAATATTCTCGGGGCGCCTGGGTGGCGCAGTCGGTTAAGCGTCCGACTTCAGCCAGGTCACGATCTCGCGGTCCGTGAGTCCGAGCCCCGCGTCGGGCTCTGGGCTGACGGCTCAGAGCCTGGAGCCTGTTTCCGATTCTGTGTCTCCCTCTCTCTCTGCCCCTCCCCCGTTCATGCTCTGTCTCTCTCTGTCCCAAAAATAAATAAACGTTGAAAAAAATATATATATATTCTCACAAAATGGCTACGAGCACCCACACGGGAGGACAAGAGAGAAGAAGGAAAACGACAATGTATGGCTGGAGAAGCGATGACCCCGGAAACGGACCAGGAAGTGCCTCCTGTGAGGAAGGCTGGCAAGTGGACTGAGGCAGGTGAAAGGGGCACGATGAGGGCTTCCAGAACGGACAGGATGGAGGCAGCAGGTGGGAAAAGAGAGGAAACAGAATGGGAGAGGTAAGAGAGATCAGCAGGAAATGGAAATGTTTCAAAACAGAAGGGGAGAGAGGGAGAGATGCCGAAGAGAGAAGGAAGTCAGGGCTCCCAGGGAGACACGACGGCAGCTCCCACACGACCAGAGGGCCAGCAGGCCGCAAACCAAACTCAGAAACACTGGAGCTCAACGTCCCACCTGGAAGCCAGGAAGCCACCCTAAATTCCAAATACTGGCCCAGTGACTTTTAAATATTCCACATAACATTCTGGGACAAAAGACTCTTTCAGAAAGTGCATTGGGACACGAATTGAACTGGAGAGCTGTAGGCCACAGGGGCATTTCTGCTAGAAGAACCACTGTTTACAAAATCACAGCATAGATGAGAGAAGTGAGGCCTGGAAACTTCCTTCCAAAACAAAGAAAATCCAAGTAATCGAGAACTCCCAGGACCAGCGAGCGGTCTCAGGTAAATTTTAGTCTGTATGTGTTGGGTGGGGGTGTGTGGGTGTTGGTGTGTTTGTGTTGGGTGCAGTGGTTGGGAGCAGTCCTTGCCTTTCCCTCTACAGCTGTATGTGAGACAAATATAATGCAGACCTAACGATCATGACCTACACAAATTACGGGTGATTTAAATACTAAAAAGGAAAGTTAAGGCATTTTTTTTTTCATTGCTGAAGGCCTAAAAACAGAAGTCACAGCTGTGGCACAAATAATTCAGTTTGACCCACAGAATCATACTTTCCTTAAAGTATGGCTGAAATCGACTTCTTGGCATAAAATTGGCATACAATTAAGTATTTCCATTGGTAAGTGAGAAAAGAAGTGGTTTAGGAGCTACTGGGTCACGGATTTTCTGTGGCAGGTCAGTGGCCATGCATTCCCAGGAACTGGTTTTCCCAGGTTGGGGCTGGAAACTGGGCAGAGGTCAGAGAGTGCGTGGAGTAGTGCCTTATAAAGAACAGGGAGCCATGTTCTCTGCTGCAGAAGAACCATTTCCAATAAACTAGGAAGGCAGGGGTGCCTGGTTGGCTCAGTCCGTGGAGCCTCTGACTCTTGATCCTAGGGTCATGAGTTTAAGTCCCACGTTGGGTGTGGAGCCTACTTAAAACAAATAAAAAATGTAAAATAAACTGGGAAGGCAAAACCGAAACTGCTAGGTCCTCTTACTCACCTGGACAGATGCCTCTCAAAACCTCTGCTTCCCAGGGATCTGGGCCCCATGGCGCTTCCCCTCTCTCCAGGTGGGAGACCAGAACAGGTTTGGGGAATGGAAATGCTACTCCAGCAAGAAAAAGGACAAACAAGTTGAGAGTCGAAGGGAGACTTCCAGAGTTTTCCTGAGATCTCTCTTGGCCCACCCTACAACAGGTTGGGGGGGTGGGGGCAGGGGGAGGAAGAATGAAATGCCCAGTGAGCTACCCAGGGGTTCTGCAGAAGGGCTCCACACTGTGCTCCAAGGTAAGGCCAAGGAGACAGCAATTGTCCTCAGGGAGAAACTGCAATCTCGCCCTGACCTAAACAAAGAGATGCCTTCAGGAAGAACACAGGTGCTGATATCCTGGGAGACTCCCCCATAGGCAGAAAACCAACATCCCCAGAACACTGGCAGCATGGAGGAACCAAGGGCTCACCTGGGACACAAGAGTCCCTTCGCTCAGGGCCCAGAACCACACCCTGCCCTGGGACATATAGGGAAGTCTGATTTCAACACGTGAGGGGACCAGGGATTTCTTCACCCGACATCTGCAGAAGCTCGTGACTGCAGAATTAACCTCAGGAGTTCAAAGCCCCAAAACATCGGAGGAAGATGTTGAAATATCACAAAGGACCACAGAGAGGGGCCTTACCCAGGGAAGCCATGTTCGTATAATTCTCCAGCATCACCTCGCGGTACAGGGCCCTCTGCATGGGGTCCAGGCTGGCCCACTGATTCTGGGTGAAGTACACGGCCACGTCCTCAAAGGTCACCGGCTCCTGAAACGACGTGTCCCCGGTCAAGCTCTAAGTGGGGGCAGAAGAGGGACCTGGGCTGCAGGGAGGCGGTGGACCTCCCAGGATCTGCAACTCTGAGCCGCATGGAAGGTCTGCTCTACCGAGAACAGCACCCAGCACCCCACAGGGGCAAGCCCTCAGCCACCGCTCCACTTCCAAAGGGAGCACCCCAACACTCTCCCCTCCGCACGGCTCTGGGGGCCCAAACTGTCCTCCCAATCTCGCAGCCTGGCAGTGGGGGCTCCCCACCTGCTTACGGCATCAACCCCCACGTTCCTGACTCCGTCCCTCTGTACCTCCTACCCTCTTGTATCCACAAGCCTGCCACCGCTTCTGTCGGCCGCTGCCACTCACCCTGTCTCCACCCACCCAAACAAGCGCAGCCCACTTTTGTTCCCTGCACCCAGCGTCTCCTCAGCCTTCCCTGCCGTCCCGACTAGTGCCGAGAGGAGGCACACCTTAAAGCTATTTCCAGCATGTTATATACCTCCTTGGCTGGTCAGAAAGCTCTCTCCAAGGCAACCTGCAGCCTGCCTGTTCCGGCCTCTTCTCTGAACCCCCCCATCTCCAGAGAAGGTCAGCAGTGCCCCCTCTCTGAGAAAGATTCATCCCCCAGTCTCGAGCTCCATCCCCATCTGCCAAGACGGCCGCTCTCTGCCTCCCCTGCAGCCCCCGCCATCTCCCCAAGGATGAGGGGCATCAATTCTTGTTGATGAAGACCCTAGGCACCAGGCTCTTAGGTGGGTATTTTCAAAACATGTATTTCACTTCATCTGAAAACATCTGTGTGAGGCAGGATTTATTAAGCCCATTTTCACATGATGAGACGAAGGCTGAGAAAGATTAATGACTCTGCCCAACACCACACAGCCAGGAAGTGGTTGAGCTGGGATTTCAGCCCAGATCGGACGGTCAAACAGCAAACCTGGGCTCTTCCCACACACCGAGCTGCCTCCCGTACTGGGCTCACGAGCCTCCCCTAAAACACGGCTCACCCCTGCTCCTCAGCATTACTGGGTGCTGCCCCATCTTTGGAGAACAGCTTCTCAAACTCCTCACTCCCAACAGCGCCTGTCTACCCATCTCTACCATGCTCCCACCAAGCCACGGGGACTCCCTCCCCCAGTGTGGACGGAGGGGCCGGCTATTTCCAAACCCCACACGCCACCCTGCGAGCCAGAGCCTCTGAATCTCCCATAGAGCCCGAGGGCCGTCCCTGATGGTGGCCACTGGCTCCTTTCTCTGCTTCCACAGTCGGGGTGTAGGGACCACTGAAACCAGACTCCCACGTTGGAGGAGGTTTCGTGACTTCTGTGCCCTCTCGCCTCGAATCCGCCTCCAGGGAGACATGCGGGACCCTATGCAGTCAGCTTTGCTCTTTCAGCCACCAAAAACAGGAACGCCTCCCCCGGGCGGCTCAGCGAAGCCCCTCTCTGTGCACCACTGTCTCTCCGGGCAGCAGCCTTGCACTGGCATCAGGGCCAGGGCCAGGGAGAAAGGAAGGAGCCCTAACTGCTCTTGGAGGAAGCGGGAGGAAACGCATCCCAAGGATAAATGCTGGCCCTCTTGCTTTGGTGGCCACTCTACGCTGGGCCCTTATGAGGGTGTCCTTTTAAAACAACCAGAAGGAGGGAACCTGGTTCAAAAGGAGACACTGAAAGAACAACGAATGTGGACATTCTTCAAAGCAGGAGCTGGCCTTTAAACTGGGCGAGGACGAGGTCCGAAGGGCCCCCCAAATCCAAGCCCCAAATCCCCCCACTAGGCAGAACCATGATGGCCTGAAGTAGTCACGCTCACCGAGGCGGGAAGGCCTCTGAGGACAGCATGCAAAGGCTCGCAGGTGAACCGAAGTTCACCTCCACTTACGGCAAGTCAAACCTCACCTCCTAACGCCTCCAGGGCTGGTCCCACAACTTCCTCCTCCCAGCCTGGCACCACCAATCTCTTCCTCCCCCTTGTCCTCTCCAGCTCCTACCACATAATCCCAGGGTTCCAGAATATGGGGGGGGGGGGGGGGAGAGAGACATGCCTAGAATTAGAGGAAAACATACTGCTTTAAGGTAGTTGGGTTACATATACGTTTTTTCTTCCTCCTGTGGATGGCCCCTATGTACCTCACCTTATTTTTCTCCACAGCCTTTCTCATCACCCAACAAACTACATTGTTCATGATCGATCCCTCTCCAGCAGAATGGAGGTCCATGAGGCAAGGACTCTGTTTTGCTCATCACCGGCTCGCTAACACACAGCATAGTGCCTGGCAGATACTGGATGCTTAATACGAATTTGCTAAAAGAATTTCAAAAATGGTTTGACCGTAAATAAAATTTTTTAAACTTATGAAGAGGGTCAGGAAACAGCAGCAAATACCACCATAAGTAAAATGCCGGAGCATTTCCTGTAAAGTGGACGGATACCTTACCATGAGCTGCCCACAAACTGCGAGATCGTGACCTGAGCCAAAGTTGGAGGCTTAACCGACTGAGCCAACCAGGTGCCCCACAAATGGTAAATATTTAGAACTGACAAAATAACTCATTAAGTTATCTAGGGATAGGATAACTAAACCAGAATCACTGGTTTTCCTAAATACCTTAGCAATTAGAAGATAAAATGGTGGGCAGCTGGCTGGCTCAGTCAGCGGAGCATGCGACTCTTGATCTCAGGGCTGTGAGTTCAAGCCCCGTGATGGATATACAGATTACTTAAAAATAAAATCCTTAGAAAAAAAAAAAAGAGGATAAAATGGAAGAACATAAGATGCCACTCATATACAAATGGCTAAGATTAGACCTAACAAAAATGTGCAAGACCAAGATAAAGAGAACTGAAAGTAAATAAAGGAGAAACAGTGTTTCCAAAGGGGAAGAATCAAATTTATGAACAAGTCAATTATGTCCAATAATTAATTAATTGGACAATTATGTCCAATTGTGCCTAGGAATTCAATAACATCCACTCTCCCACCAAAAAAAAAAATCAATGACATCTGTGCAGAGAAAAGAGGTCATTTAAAGTCATCTGAGGGACACCTATGTGGCACAGTTCACAGAGCGTGTGACTCTTGACCTCAGGGCTGTGAGTTCAAGCCCCATGCTGGGCGTAGAGCCTAATTTTAAAAATAATAAGAATAGGGGCACCTGGGTGGCTTGGTTAGTTGGGCATCCAACTTCGGCTCAGGTCATGATCTCCCGGTCCGTGGGTTCGGGCCCCGCATTGGGCTCTGTGCTGACAGCACGGAGCCTGGAGCCTGCTTCGGATTCTGTGTCTCCCTCTCTCTCTGCCCCTCCTCCTGTTCATTCTCTGTCTCTCTCTGTCTCTCAAAAATAAATAAATGTTAAAAAAAAAATTTTTTTTTTTAATAATAATAAGAATAAAGTCATCTGGAAAAGTAAATGTAGAAGACTACCCAAAACATTTTGAAGAAAAGAAGTTTCAAAAGAAAAGATGAGCAGGAATTAAACCTTACGTTAAAAAGCCAATACCTCAGATTTACGCTTCCTCTTTCGAAGCCAAACATTCATCAAAGAACAATTGTGTTAAACTATCACTGTTAAACAATTCTCAGCTTTTCTCAGTTGCACTATAGGATGTACATAAGCAGTAGATGTATTTAGGTTAATACAGTCAAATTCTATTCAATGTTGCTTTTTTACCACATTACACTGAACACTGGATACACATTTAAAGACATGGTTTTTTCGGTAAAACTCAATATGGGAGCTGTGTCTACAGTTAAAAGGGAATCATTTAGCATGTTTGTTAATTCTAGTTTCACTTAATGACTTCTTAGGCATGTAAATTTAAGTTTTTAAATTAATGGGGAAATCTGAGATGCAATACCGATACTTTTGGATTTCTGTCTTAGTGTTTATACGAAATTCTGAGACCTTGATTTAGATCTTTTATTGTACTGTGATTTCCTTTTCTTTTTTTTTTCAAGTTTGTTTATTTATTTCGAGAGAGACAGCATGAGCGGGGGAGTGGCGGAGGTGGGGGGGGCGCGGAGAGAGAGAGAGAATCCCAAGCAGGCTCCACACTGTTAGTGCAGAGCCTGACACGGGGCTTGAACTCACAAAACTTTAAGATCATGACCTGAGCCCAAACCGAGAGTCGGACGCTTAACCAACTGAGCCACCCAGGCACCCAAATCTTCCTTTTAAACACTGAAAGGAAGGGAAACCTGAGTGGCTCAGTCGGTTAAGCGTCCGACTCTTGATTTCAGCTCAGGTCATGATCTCATGGTTCTTGGATTGAAGCGTGTCAGGGTCTGCCTTGACAAGTGTGAGCCTACTTGGGATTCTCTCGCTCTCCCTCTGCCCCTCCCCAACTCACACTCTCCTTCTCCCTCCCAAAATAGATAAACTTTAGAAAGATAAAAAAAATAAATGAAAGAAAAAATAGGGCAATGCTATAAGAAAGTGAGAAAATAGGCCAACAGGGAGAAAATAGTTGAAAAGGCCAAGAGTATACAAACAACTCTTAAATCTCAAAGCTTAACAAACAACCCCATTACAAAATGTGCAAGAGACCAGAAGAGACACCTCGCAGAGATATACAGATGGCACAGAGGTATATGAAGAGATGCTCTACCTCATATGTCAACAGGAAAATGTGCATTAAAACACTGAGATACATTAGACACCTATAGCAACGGCCAAAATCTAGAACACTGAAAACACCAAATGCTGGAGAGGACGGGGAGCAAAAGGAACTCTCATCACGGCTGGTGGGAGTGCAAAATGGTACAGACGCTTTGGAAGGCAGTTTGGCAGTTTCTTACAAAACTAAACATGCTCTTGCCATATGATCCAGCAATCATGCTCCTGGGGATCTTCCCAAATGAGTTGAAAACTTCTATCTGCACACAGACGTTTACAGCAGCTTTAGTCACAACTGTCAAAACTTGGAAGCAACCAAGATGTCCTTCAGTAGGCAAATGGATAAAACGTAGTACATCCAGGCTATGGGATGTTATTCAGCACTAAAAAGAATAGTGCTATCAAGCCATGAAAAGTCATAGAAGAAACTTAAATGCATATAACGAAGTGAAAGAAACCAATCTGTGAAAGCTACATACTGTAGGATTCCAACTACATAACATTCTGGCAAAGACAAAACTATGGAGACAGTAAAAAGATCAATGGTTGCCAGGGAGATAGGGATGAACAGGTACAGCACAGAGGATTCTTAGAACCTTGAAACTACCCTGTATGATACTATAATGATGGATACATGTCATACATTTTTAACCCATGGAATGTTCTGCACCAAGAGTGAACCCTAATGTAAACTGTGGACTTTGGGTGACTGTGATGTGTCAAGGTATGTTCATCATTGTAACAGAAGTACCACTCTGGTGGGGCAATGTTGATTATGAGGAGGCTAAGAATAGCCAAAGCAATCCTGAGAAAGAAAAACAAAGCTGAAGGTATCACAATTCCAGATTTCAAGATACACTACAAAGTTGTAGTAATCAAAACAGTATGGTACTGGTACAAAATAGACACATAGACCAATGGAGAATAGAGTCCAGAAATAAATCCACAGTTATATTAATTAATCTGTAACAAAGGAGGCAAGAGTATACAATGGTGAAAAGATAGTATCTTCAATGAATTCAGGCTGGATTAAAGACCTAAATGAGAGACCTGAAACCATAAAAGCCCTTGAAGAGAACACAGGCAGTAATTTCTCTGACATCAGCCACAGCAACATTTTTCTAGATGTGTCTTCTAAGGGAAACAAAAACAAAAATAAACTACTGGGACTACACCAAAATAAAAAGCTTTTGCACAGCAAAGAAAACCATCAACAAAACAAAAAGACGACCTATTGAATGGGAGAAGGTATTTACAAATAATATATCCATTGAAAGGTTAATATCCAAAATATATAAAGAACTTATACAACTCAACACCAAAAAAGAACAAAAAAAAAATCTGATTAAAAAATGGGCAGAGGACCTGAATAGACATTTCTCCAAAGACCACCTACAGAGAACCAACAGACACATGAAAAGATGCTCAACATTACTCATCAGGGGCGCCTGGGTGGCTCCCTCGGCTGAGCATCCAACTTCAGCTCAGGTCATGATCTCATGGTTCATGGGTTCAAGCCCCGCGTTGGGCTCTGTGCTGACAGCTCAGAGCCTGGAGCCTGCTTCAGATTCTGTGTCTCACTCTCTCTCTGCCCCTCCCCTGTTCGTGCTTTGTCTCTCTCTCAAAAATAAATAAAAATTAAAAAACAAAAACCAAAAACATTACTCATCAGGATCTGCAAATCGAAACCACAATGAGGTATCACCTTACATGTGTGAGAATGGCTAAAACCAAAAGGATAAGAAATAACAAGTGTTGGCGAGGATATGGAGAAAAAGGAACTCTTGTGCACTGGGTGCAGCCACTGTGGAAAACAATATGGAAGTTCCTCAAAAAATAAAAATAGAATACCATATGATCCAATAATTTCAGTACTGGGTATTTACCCAAAGGAAACAGTAACACCAACTCAAAAAAAATTGGGGAACCCCTATGTTACAGCAGCATTATTTAAATAGCCACAATATGGAAGCAACCTAAGTGTCCATCAATAGACAAACAGATAAGGAAGATGTGAGATACACACACACACTTGTACGCACACTGAAATATTATGCAGACATAAAAACAGATGAGATCGTGCCATCTGAAACAACATGAATGGAGACAGAGGGTATTATGCTAAGTGAAATAAATCAGACTGAGAAAGACAAATGCTATACGATTTCACTCATATGTGGAATCTAAAAAAATGATAAACAAAAAGAATCAGATCTATAAATACAGAGAACTAATGGTTGCAGAGGTGGGGAGTTGGACAAAATGGGTGAGGGGAGAGTGGGAGACACAGTCTTGCATTTATGGAATGAATAAGTCACAGGAATAAGAGATACAGCATAATGAATATAGTGAATGACATTGTAACAATGTTACATGGTGACAGATGGTAATTATGCTTGTGGTGGGGATAGCATAATGTATCAACTTGTCAAATCACTATGTTATACACTTCAATTAAGGTGACACTGTGTGTCAATTTACACTCAAAAAAATTTCTTAAGGGAGCCTGGCTGGCTCAGTCAGTAGAGCATGCAACTCTTGATCTTGAGGTCATGAGTTTGAGCCCCACATTGGGGGCAGAGTTTACTTAAGCAATCAATCAATCAATCTATCTATCTATCGATCTATATACATATTTAAAGATAACGAGCTATCCTATGCATCTATGGAGGCAAGGGGTATATAGAAACTCTCTGTGCTTTCCAGTCCATTTTACTATAAACCCAAAACTTCTCTAAAAATAAAGTCTTTTTTTATTTTTTTTTTTATTTTTTTTTCAACGTTTATTTATTTTTGGGACAGAGAGAGACAGAGCATGAACGGGGGAGGGGCAGAGAGAGAGGGAGACACAGAATCGGAAACAGGCTTCAGGCTCCGAGCCATCAGCCCAGAGCCTGACGCGGGGCTCGAACTCACGGACCGCGAGATCGTGACCTGGCTGAAGTCGGACGCTTAACCGACTGCACCACCCAGGCGCCCTAAAGTCTTTTTTTAAAAAAAGACAATATTTATCTCTTATCTGGACTACAATATGCTTTTTTTTTTTTTTTTTTTTAATTTTGAAAGAGAGAGAGACAGAGCATGAGCAGGGGAGGGGCAGAGACAGAAAGGGAGAGACAGAATCCCAAGCAGGCTCTGCACTATCAGGGCAGAGCCCAATGCAGGCTTGATCTCACAAACCAGGGGATCATGAGCTAAGCAGAAAACAAGAGTCGAATGCTTAACTGACCGAGCCACCCAGGCGTCCCAGACTACAGTATGCTTCTAACTGATTCATACCCTTCTATAACCAACTCATCAATAGTACTGGGAAAAAAAAAAATTTTTTTTTTAAGTAATCAACATGGGGTTTTGAACTCACAACCCTGAAAATCAAGGGTTGCATGCTCAACCAACTGGGCCAGCCAACTGCCCCTGGAAAATCTTTTTAATAAATAAATCCAACCATGTCACCTACCCTGCTTAAAATCCTTTAGTGCCTTCCCACTGAACTCAGAATAAAAACCAAAGTCTTTACAGATGAGCCTACCTCTCCAGCCTCAGTGAACTACTTTCTCTGATCTCTCCCTGTTTCTAGAGTACACCCAGCTTTCTCCCTGACTTCAGGGCCTTTGCCATTCTTTTCTCCAGAAAGCTCCTCTTCAGCTGTCTCCTCAGTAGTTTCCAAAACTGTTTCCATCTCATCCTTGAGATCTCAACCTCATGTTACCTCCTCTATGAGGGCTTCCCTGACTATTACCTTGAGAGGGAGCTTCTTTGGGGCTCCTCAAATTAGAAAAGGTAAGTGCATAGGAATCACCTGAAGAGCTTGTTACAACAGATTCCTGGCCCCCCTCACCCTCCTCCCCAGTCTGATCCTGGGTCTAGGGCAGGGGCGTGAGAATTTGCGATTCTAATGACTTCCCAGGTGATGTAGACTACACTTTCGAAGCACCATACTTTAGCAACATGTAATTACTGACTTAAAGACTGTCTATTTTGCCAGCAGTATCTTCTGAGAAAAGGAAACTTGTCTGTGTTATCCAATATTGTGCCCCTAGCATTTATAAAGTGCCTATGGAAGGAACAATGCTGGTTTCTCTGGGATACCTCTACGGTCTGCGGGACAATCTTTTCAATAGAGAATTTCTTGGATGTCAGCAGGCAAGTTTTACGTGCACCACATGACCTGGATTTCCACCTTCAGAGAGAACTTCTTAGCTTGGGTGCCTCTTTTCCCACTTAACCCTACACAATCCAAACTCATCACTCATACACAAAACTCTGATTTCCTCCACCACTATTTACAGCCAGAGCGGTGGAGGAGGAAATCATAGCGTGGCCAAGTCGGACCTTCTCGGTCCCTTCCTGATTACCGGACAGCTAATGTGATTTTAAAAGACTGAAAGAAGCTCAGCTCACCTGAGGCCAAGTTGTTTGGTGCATGGCTGATGTCGCCTGGTTTCGAGCACTGTCTTCTTGATTTGGAAAAGCAAGAACCTTAGGAGCTAAAAGAAGAAGAGCCATGAGTGCAATGGACCCTGTCCTGCAACACCCACAGCGGCCTATAGCCTTCCCAGTCTCATTTCCAGCACTGGTAGGAGACTCTATCAGACCCCCTTGTGGCCGATGGCCTCAACAACCTCATGAATTGCTCTGGTCCTCAGGACAATTCTCCATCTGCCTGCTCAGTCCATGAACGTTCCTGAGACCATTCACACGAAATGGACTGAGGGATCCAAGACGAATCCTATCCCTACGGTGTTCGGTCTGAACAAACCTAAAAGCGCGCTTACAGGAACCATGACGTTGCCCCTAAAGCGGAGCCGATGGAGAGGAGAAGGGACAGAGATGGCAAGATGCGGATTAACAGTAAAATAAATACTCGGTGTTCCAGTGGCTGATGCTGACCGGAGACCCGACCGGGATCTCCGCCCAGGGAATCAGAGACACCAAACAGAAACGTCAGTAGAGGGCGCGGGAGGCTGTTGGGCCAAATTCTTTGGGACAGAAAAGAGGATCACGCTTCGGTGGGCAGGGGGCTGGACCAGGGCTCTAGAAGGCCGCGCAGCCACCTCGGGCGGCTTCTGCGAGGCCCAGACGCCGGAGTTCCGCATCAGGGAGCGGGGTGAGCCGACACCGGGCCGGACTTTAGGGGAGGGGGACGCTGACGAGCCGCCAGGAAAAGCGATTAAGCCGGGGCCGCGCGGACCTGGCACGTAGAACTCGCCGGAGCCCACGCTCTCCCCCTCGGAACACCGAAACGCTGGCAGCTGCAAGCCGACGCGGAAGTGGGCGCGAGCGCCCAGGGCCGCTCTAGGCCTCGCGGAGGCAACCCATCTCGGTGGTCTCCGCGGCCCGGCCCACGTGACTCGCCCCGCCCCGCCCCGCGGAAGAGGCGGGGCTGCGGGCTGGCCGCGACCGGAGCGTTCTTTGCCTGGGTCTTACTCCCGCCGCAACCGCGTTAACGTCCTCCTCGCTCGTGGGCCGCGCGGCTCCGGTGCCGCCTCTAGGCCCACGTGGGGTCCCAGTTAACGGAATGCCCGGCAGTTGTCGGCCGGCTTTACTCCGAGGCTCATCTGGGCTGTGATGGTATGGGGAGGCTGCCTCCGGGTGTCCCCTCTTAAAGGCCCAAGCTGGGCCGCCCTTAGGAAGACTGTGGTTTCCATCCTCCCGTTTAAAGCCCTCTCTCTTCCTGGGCCTGCACGTGTGGGGGTGCCTTTTAGGACAGACTCATTTAACTACCAAAATAATGGTGACTAAGGTTGCCAGGCATCCTCTGTATACAGGGCATGTCCTATATTAAATGATGTTCTTCTGTGTTGGCTTAAATGCCTTCTGCTTAGCTTCTCCAAATTTACCAACAAATCTGGAGTTTAGAGCTATTTTTATCACCCAGTAACTGGCACTTACATAATTTCAATGTAAACATTGGCTGGAAAAAAAAAAAAAATCATAGCTTCCACAAATAGTCTCTCCTGCAGGTTTGGCTTAGTGAAGTTAAAAGAATTGAGAATTAACATTAAAATTACGTTTTTCATATTCAAGTAATTACCGTTAATCTGCATAACTTTGGTTCAGTGCACATGCTCTGCAAATCATCCAATGACCGCCTCGCTTGGGTGGTTCCCCGTTGCTGCTGAAGGTTAGCAAATCAATGGCAGCCCAAGCTTCTAACCATGAGCCAATCGGTGGCAAACACGCGTGAACGTCGGCCAATCAGTGCCCTTAATACAATGACCAAGCTTTTGAAATCACTGGGTAGACGTACTCCAGTGACCACTACGATTCCCAAAGTCAACAGACCTTTACTTTGATGTTTCTGTTGAACACATTTTCTGACACGCGCCGCCTCCCACTGGCGGGAGTTGGCCTCCCACTGCTAGGAAATAGAAGGATCCTGGATGTCTGGCTCTATCACAGGACTTTCTGCTCCTTTTGTTACCAAACCCAAGTTTGGCTGCCTGTTGTCTGCAGGAAAGGAATGTGAGCTTTTTTTCAGAAGGCCCGCAATCTGGGAAGAAGGCAGGCTTTTGTCCCTAAACCCAGGTTTCTGCCTGGTCCAGGGCGTCTTTAAGAGGTTTGGGGTAGTTAATCAGCGAAGGGAGTGCAGTGGCCTCTAGCATTTCTTGATCACGTGCTGACTTGAAGATGCCTGCTACAAACATTTTCAGTGCTCAAGGGTTGTGCGTGGGGGTCTGGTTCTTGTTTCACGATGCGCTGGAGTGCTCTATTCTTTCCGCAAAGGAGGGCAAGGTCTACAGATACAAAGGGAGGTTGGTAAAATCATTTGTGTGACCTAAAAAAAAATTGCTGGACTCCTCAGAAAGCCGAGGTGGCTTCAAACAGAGTTGCTGGCTTCTGGGGCCTGGGCAGGTTTGGTTCTTCACTCCTCAGGGCCAGTGGTCTGCAAATCTCAAAGTAAATTAGCTCTGTTACAGACCAAGGGCCTGAGGTCAGCAAGGAAGGAGTGTTAACTTGAAGCAAGTTAACCCTTAAGGCCGGCTGAGTGCTGTCACACTTCCACAGGAATTAGGCTGTTACTGACCAACTATAGCATCAGGAAGTGCCGTCCCGGAGAGCACAATAGGTATCTACCCCCCCAAAACTCTGTGGCTGGAAGCCATACACAGTATTTCTCAAAGTCTCTGTGCACCAGGAATTCAGGAGTGGTTTGGCTGGAAGGTAACAGCTTGGGATCTCTCATAAAGTTCCATTCGGGGGTCACTTGGGGCTGCACTCACCTGAAAGCTTGACTGAGCCTGGAGGCTCTGCCTCCAAGATGACTCCCTTACATGACTGGCAGATTCATACCGGCTCTTGGTAGGAAGCTTCAGTCCCTTCCCACATAGGCTTCTGCATTCAGCTGGGTGTCCTCACCACATGGCTGCAAGGTTCCACCCAAGGTACACAGTCCAAAAGGCCAAGGCCAGAGGCACCTGGCCGGCTCAGTCGGTGGATAGAGCACGCAACTCTTGATCTCAGGGTCGTAAGTTTGAGCCCCAACACTAGGTGTAGTGTTTGCTTAAAATATATATATATATATAGTTTTAAATAAAATTAAAAATAAACAAAGCCAAAGCCAGCTAGTGTTATGACCTCACTTTGGAAGTCATCACCTCAATATACTACCAATACAGGCCAGTCATAATACATTATTAGATGAGATGCACAAGGGCATGGATGCAAGGATTAGAATCACTGGGGACCACATGGAGACTGCCTAACCCTGAGATTTGGCCCATCAAAGAAACCATGTATTTTATAAAACTTACGGTATTTTTATTGTAAAGCTTATGTACAACTGTTTTAAATTAATTAGGTTTCCAGGAACAATAGCACGAGGACTTCTATTTTCACACTGTCCCTTCTCTAAACCTACCAAAATGAACATCGACCATGAATCTAGAGATGGGTACACATATATAGGTGCATCGCACGCGTGCGCGCGCACACACACACACACACACACACACACACCCTACATCACAGACCCTTAAAAAGTATTAGCCAGTTACTACAATTGGATCTAGCTTGGGGCACTTGGGTGGCTCAGCCAGTTAGGCATCCAACTTCGGCTCAGGTCATGATCTCATGGTTCATGGGTTCGAGCCCTGCGTCGGGTTCTTTGCTGACAGCTCAGAGCCTGGATCCTGCTTTGGATTCTGTGTCTCCCTCTCTCAAAAATAAACATTAAAACATTTTTTTAAAAAATTAGATCTAGCTTGAACGGGGACAATATTGGACATGGAGTTCCTCTATCTGGTATTACAGTGTAGGGAGAATAATGAGGAAGCTTCAGTAGACCCCAATAAAAATCCCCAAGTTATGAGAATAACTGGAATCCTGGGCAACCAGAGAAGAATACTGGGAGGGAGCGAGCAACAGGGGTCCCATTCTTTCCCAGAACAGCCTTACCAGAGGGACAGAGTACAGGCAGCGCTGACATGCCAGCAGCCAGGCAGCAAGGTGAACCCGGAGAGATGGGACACTTGGGCCCTCACAGCTATCAGGGAGTCTGCTCATGCCTCAGCAAAGTTAAAAGTCCGGAGCTGGATGTCCCTCACCTGGCCAATGCCACAGGGACTGGTTCTACCTAAACACACCATCCCCAGCCACTAGCCAGAGCAATAAGGCAAGAAAAAAAAGAAACCCAGAATTGGAAAAAAAATAAAATGGTTATTTATGAACATTATTTTCAATGTTAGAAAATCCTACAGAGTTTTTTAAAAAATGTTATCAGAATAAGTGAGTCGCGCAGGGTGGCATGATACGAGGTCAAAACACAAAAATCAGTTAGATCTCTCTATACCATCAATGAACATTTGGAAATTTACTATCGTAATAGCATCAAAAAACGATAGACAAATCTGAAAAAGGTGTGAAAACCTATATAGTAAAAATTACAAAACACTGCTGAAATAAAGATCCAAATAAATGGAGAGATTTGCCATGTTTTTGAGTCAAAAGACTATATAAAGATGAGAATTCTCCCCCACAATTGATTTATAGATTCCATACAATCTCAGTCAAAATCCCAGGATATGTTTTGTAGAAACTGACAAACATTCTAAAATCCACGAAATGCAAAGGACCTAGAATGGCCAAAACAACTCTGGCAAAATACAAATAGGACGACTGACACTGTATGACTTTGACACTTGGAACACCTACAGTAATAGGGGCACTTGGGTGGCTCAGTTAAGCATCCAACTCTTGATTTTGGCTTAGATTGTAATCCCAGGGTCATGAGATTGAGCCCTGCTTAAGGTTCTCTCCCTCTGCTCTCTCTCCCCTGCTCGTGCCACTGTCTTTCTAGAAAAAAAAAAATTTTTTTTTAATAAAAAAACTTTTGAAGATAGAACTAAACATAAAACCTATGATGTTTCTATAAGGAAGGGCACCTGGGTGGCTCAGTTAAGCATCCAACTCTTGATTTCAGCTCATGTCAGGATCGCACAGTTTGTGGGATCAAGCCCTGCCCTGCACCATGCTCCATGATGACAGGAAGGAGCCTGCTTGGGATTATCTCTCTGTCTCTCTCTGCCGTTCACACACACACACACACACACACACACACACACACACACACACATGCTCTTTCTAAATAAACTAAATAAATATATAAAACTTCTAGAAGGAAAATGGGGGGGAATCTTTGTAAACTTGGGTAAGGCAAAGATTTCTTAAATATGACACTAAAAGCATAATCCATAAAAGAACAAACTAATATATTGGACCTCATCAATATTAAACTCTTCTGCTCTTCAAAAGATTTAAGAGAATCAAAAGATAAGCCACATGCTGGGAGAAAACGTTTAGAAATCACATATCTGAAAAAGGACTTGTATCCACAATCTATAAAGACCTTTCCTCTCCAAAAAAGATCTCCCAAAAATCAATAAAAACAACCCAGGGGTGTGTGGGTGGCTCAGTCAGTTAAGCCTCTGACTCTTGATTTCGACTCAGGTCATGATCTCACATTCGTGGGATTGAGCTCCAAGGCAGGCTCTGCACTGAGTGAGGAACCTGCCTGGGATTCTCTCTCTCCCTTTCTCTGCCCTTCCCCTGCTAACACTTTTTCTCTCCATCAAAATAAACAAACAAAAACACAAAGAATTTTTGAGGGGCATCTGGATTAAGCAATTAAGCAATTAAACATCAGACTCTTGATTTCAGCTCAGGTCATGATCTCAGGATCCGTGAGATTGAGCTCCACATCAGAGTCCGTGTTGACAGCACAGAGCCTGCTTGGGATTCTCTCTCTTCCGCTCTGCTCCTCCCCTGCTTGGGTGCTCATTCTCTCTCAAAATAAATAAATGTAAAAAGAAAAGAAAAGAAAGAAAAGAAAAGAAAAGAAAAGAAAAAGAAAGAAAGAAAAGAAAAGGGAGAGAGGGAGGGAGGGAGGGAGGAAGAAAAGAAAAGAAAAGAAAAGAAAAGAAAAGAAAAGAAAAGAAAAGAAAGAAAACAACCCAATAATAAAAACACAAGCAAAAGATATGGACACTGGACCTAAGACATAATGGAAGGCAAAGAAGCACATGTAAATATTAGAATAGCTAAAATTAAAAAAAAAAAAAAAAAGGCACTACTGAGCATAGCCAAACATGGACTGGAAATATAAGTCTCATACAATGCTGGCAGGGATATAAAATGATACATCTTCTTTGCACAACAGTTTTGAAGATGCTTAAAATGTAAATATATACTTACCTTATGACCCAGACATTCCACTACTCTTACTTACCCAAGAGAAATAAAAGCATATGTCATTACAAAGACTTAAAACACAATTGTTCATAGCAGCTTTATTTATAATAACCCAAAACTGGAAACAGCCCAAATGGCCATCAAGAGATAAATGGACAAATTTTTGTATATCTATAGTGTAATACTGCCAAGAAGGAAGGAAGGAAGGAAGGAAGGAAGGAAGGAAGGAAGGAAGGGGGAGGGAGGGAGAGGGGGAGAGATAAAGAGGGAAAGAGAGAGGGAAAGAGAGACAGAAAAAGACAGAAAAGGAAAGAAAGAAAGAAAGAAAGAAAGAAAGAAAGAAAGAAAGAAAAAGAAAGAGGAAAGAAAGAAAGAAAATAACCACTGATACAACGCATATGCAACATGGGTGACTCAAGATAATTATGCTGAGTGAAAGACACCAGGCCAAAAGTAAGAGTACATACAATACGTTGTTGATATAAAATCCTAGAGAAGCAAAACTCATCCAAAGTGACAGCGGATCAGCAACTGCTGTGGAAGCTAGGAGAGGGGCATCAGCAATGTTTGGGGGGTTATGGCTGTTTATTATCCTGACTATGGTGACGGTTTCACTGGTGCACACGGACGGCAAAGCTCGGCAATGATATCATGATAATAACACTTTTGTTCATTACATTCGAGTCCTTGTTCTAAGCACTCTGACATGTATTAATGCAGTGAATCCTCAACACAAACCTCTGAGGTAGACTGTCAGCAGATTTTACTAAGGAAACTAGTTGGGTCTGTAACTTCACCAAGACTCCGAACAAAGCCGGCCCGTCTCGGTGTTGTTACCCACTACTCTGCTTCCCGCATCGGGTAAAGTCAAGCGGCTTGCAAAAGAGGGATGCTACAACAGAACACATGGACACCTCACCTTGTTTCCACATGTAACACAAAACAATGGTCACTTTTTCCATGATACAGAACAGCAATGAGATAGATGAGTTTATGATAAATAGGGCCTTGCATCTGACTCAAAGGGTACATACACCCCAACTTTTGCAAAGGCACGGGCTGCAACTTAGTGAGAAGTAATGACGAGTAAGCAGTGTGGGTGGGCCTGCACCCGAGGTAGGTCTCTGAAAATGTGCACCCTACTAGGAATGTCCTCCACCGTGCACATGGTTCCACAGGGACAAGAGCCCTCTGTTTCTGAGTTTAGGGGACTCCTAATATAAAGACACTGACAGGGTGTCCATTTCTTTTCTGAGTGACCCCTTGTTTGCTGTCACACACCTGAGAAGGGATGCATCGGACATAAACGTTCCAAATCTAAAAGGTCTGAAATACCTTATACCAAACTCACACTTGGGGATACTGAATTTTGGGTGGAAGTTATTTTCCCTTTGAATTTTGAAGGCCTACACCGTGGTCCTCTAACTTTCAAGACTGCTGTTATGAAATCCAATGCATTCACATTCCCGGTCTTTTGTTTTCTCTAGAAACTTTTTGCCGTCTCCTCTTTAAGCCTGGACTCTTGATAATTCACAGTGGTGTTCTCTGATGGAGGTCCTCCCATAACTCCCTCATCCATCTCGCGGGACACTCAGTGACACCACTAACCCCGCGAGGTATCAGCCAGTTACCCGTCCTCGTACACTCGTGACTTAGCGGTTTGTTTCTTTTCTCGCTGTCAAGAGCGTACTGACGAAGAGCATGAGAGTGGGGAGAAACAAGGAGGCACGGCGCCCACAGCTGCGGACAGCCCTACTCTTGCACGGGTACCTTCTGCGTGTGTAGTTTCCGATGCAGGGTGAATCGCCCACACCAGCTGAAGGTTTTCCCACACACCTCGCACTCGTACGGTTTCTCACCAGTGTGAACCCGCTCATGCTGGACCAGGGTGATTTTCTGACTGAAGGCCTTCCCACACTCCTTACATTCGAAAGGTTTCTCCCCGGTGTGAATGCGCTGATGCTGAGTCAAGGCTGTGGGGGAACTCAATCGTTTCCCACACTCTTTACATTCGTAGTGTCTCTCCCCGGTGTGCACTCGCTGGTGGACGATAAAGCTGGAGCTACAACTGAAAGTCTTCCAACATTCATGACATTCATAGAGCTTCTCCCCCGTGTGGAACCTCTGGTGCTGGAGGAAGACGGAGCTGCTGATGAAGGCCTTGCCGCACTCCTTACATTCATAGGGCTTTTCTCCAGTGTGGATTCTCTGATGCTGAATCAAGGCCGTGTCCGAACTTAAGCCCTTCCCACACTCTTTACATTTAAATGGTTTCTTTCCAGTGTGAATTACCTGATGCCGAATAAGTAATGAGTTATATCTGAAGGCTTTTCCACATTCTTTGCATTTAAAAGACCTTTCGTCGGCGTGACATCCCTGAAAATCCGCCACTCGACTGAAATATCTGCCACATCTTCTACATTCGTATGATACCTGACCACCGGGCACAGTCTGATCTGTAGAGACTTGTGTGCTGACACTAACGTTTTCCCCAGACTTCTCACACTTCTCCCCACTCTCCACAGCGTAGGCCTCGCGACAGCTGGTTGGCCCATCTGTGAAAGCTCTCCTCTTGGACTTTGTCTTCTTGGCTATGCAGTGACCAGGCTGCTGCTCTAGGCTGCAACCCAAGTCCAGGTGCTGGGGAACGTTCCCTGGTAGCCCTCCTAACGTCAGTCTGTGGGACTCCGTTTCTTCGGGAATGTGTTCCTTTGGGCTCGACTCTTCCTTCTCAGCTCTGGTCTCAGAGCTACAGAGCTCTGTATCACAAAACAAAAACAAAAACAAAAACACACAAGTGTCAGCCTCTGATATCGCAAAAAGAAACTACTTGTGCCGAAGGGGAAACGGGGCCAAGTGGTTCTGATCTACCCTGTGTGGCCATTTTCTAACGTGCACACAAAATGGCTACCGAACATCACCACACAGCAGAGTGCCACAGGTGAAATGAAGACTCCACGGGTGGAGGCAAGCAAGGCCGGGGGGAACTCCCATAAAGAGGACAAAGACTAGAGAACGGCAAAGACTGCGACCTAGCAGGGCAGGAAGACCAATGGTGTTCTCCCAAGTGAACAGGTTAGGTCAGAGGGCAGACATAGAGAAGGGATGATTAGAGACCCCGAGGTCAGAGGAAATCCAGCAGATCAAAGAAAGGACAGGCCAAGCACCTCAAACTGCAAAGGGTCCCACAACGGAAATTCCCGAAGGGCTGCTCATCTTTTACAACACTGTCCATGTCCTAATCTTTGAGAAGAGAGTGGTCTCTGTCACCAAGTTGGCTCTAGCAAAGCAGCAGGCTCCCACGGTGCGACTGAGGGGACCGGGTCCGGCTAACCCCACGGCAGCTAGGAGGACGGGAGAGGTGGAGCCTTGCCTCTAAAACGGGCGAGTGCTGCGCATGTGAAGAACCCTTCTAAGGATGGACAGGACCTGGTGATGACTCTTGTGCTCTCTCTAAAATGCTGCACGGGCCGTATGTAGGGTTTAATACGGCAGTAGGAAAGTGAAATCCTAAAACCAACCAGACAGAGAAAACCAAAGGCTACTTTCCCTCTGCCGCTAAGGCCTTCTGCAGGCTAACATGGCCTTCAGCACTGGGCCAGGGCAAACTCGCGCGTTAGAAAACACTGTTTAGGGGCTTGGTGGCGTGAGGCTGCTGTCCGACTCCCAGCCAGGTCACGATCTCAGGTCCGTGGGAGTCTGAGGTCTCGACACAGGTCACTCAGCTGATGCCTCAGAGCCATCCCTGCTCTTCGATTCTGTGTCTTCCTTCTTCCTCTGCCCCCCCTCCCTGCTCATGCTCTGTCTCTCTCTGTCCCAAAATAAATAAACGTTGAAAAAAAAAAAAAATTTAAAAAGAAAAACACTGCTTACACCAGAGCCTGAAGTCCTGGGATCACACCCAAAGGGCACAACCTTAACACAAGGCTGAGGGCAGCTGGGGAGCTGGGCATTATTAATGGCTCACCTCGAAGTCTGAAGAGCCCCCCAATGTTAATAGGGCGGAGGAGGGGTGAAACAGAGTATCAGAGGCAAAAATATACAGTGTGTTGTTCTTTTAATTCCTCAATCATTCTAACGTCAAATGAGGAAGTCGCCACGCCTCTGTAACAAGTTTTGCTTCGAGAGTTCAGCTATTAAAATAAAGTCTTCTAAGTGTAGGGAAGGTGACGACTTCGCCAGTGTAGCCACTGACGAAGGGAACGGGAGGTGTTGATGTCCCAGGTTTTCCATTAGGAGTAATTCCCATTCCATTAGGAAAATGAATTTTTCTTTTATCTTCCAATAACTTTTTCAATTATACAATTTTGTTTTTTTTTATACACGCCGGTGTTTGGGAACCCGTAATTTCATTTTCCATAGAGGAGTGCCTGGTTGGCTCAGTCGGCGGAGCACACAACCGTTGTTCTCGGGGTTGTGAGTTTGAGCCCCAAGCTGGGGGTGTTACTTTAAACATGTGGGTGAGCTCTGGGTGGTCGTCCATTGAGCTCCTACCTCTTGGTTTCGGCTCAGGTCATGATCTCGCGGTTCGTGGCTTCAAGCCCCACACTGGGCTCTGTGCTGACAGTGCAAAGCCTGCTTGGGATTCTCTCCCTCTTCCGCTTCCTCCCTGCTGGCTCGCCTTCTCTCCCCTCTCTCGCAAAAATAAATAAAGATTAAAAAAAACTTTCCCCATAGAAATAACATATTCTGAAGCTGCGGACGACCAGATAGGCCGCAGAAGCCTACTTTCCCTCCAAGGTGGTTGACATTCTCGTCTCCGCAAAAACAAACTGGTGGAAAAGTTAACTGTTTCCATGAGACAGGACCCCAAAGGGCTGTCATGGTTCAACAGCTGCTGAGCCAGATGCTATCCCCTGGCAGGCGGTGAGGCGGAGAGGCAAAGACAAACACGCAAAGGCGTCCTGCAGCCATACCTTCCTTGGAAGAGACTGGCCCTTCGTCTGGCGGGGGGCGGCTACCACTACGAACACAGAATCCCACGTAATGATTCCAGAGGAAAGAAAACAGTCGCGCAAGAGAAGAAACACTCTGCACACACTGAGATGGGAAAATAAGCAAGCAGCCTAAGCAAAATGGGCAGCTGGTAGGTTCTCAGGCTCACCTGGACAGATGCCTCCGAGGACTTCCCTGCCCGCAGGTTCCCAGGGTTCCGGGCCCCATGGCAGTTCCCCTCGCTCTAGCTGGGAGACCAGAACAGGTCTGGTGAATAGAAAAGCTGCCCAGGAGAAAGAAACAGGAACAAAAGGTGAAGGGAATCAGAGAGCAGCATCCCCTCCCGGCTGTCTTTACCTTTCTTCGTTCGCCGAGCCAGGGAGGGAAACGAAGAGAAGTCAGCCTACACCATCTTAGAGGACAGAAAATTCCCACAAAGGGGGGCAGAGTCCCGGAATGACTCTGTGCTGTGCTGACAGTGCAAAGCCTGCTTGGGATTCTCTCTCCCTCTCTTCCGCCCCTCCCCTGCTGGCTCTCTCTCTCTCTCTCTCTCTCTCTCTCCTCTCTCGCAAAAATAAATAAACATTAAAAAAAACTTTTCCCCCCACTCACATGAAGGAGTCCCATATCTTCGTCAGAGAACTTGGAAGACAGAGGCCCAGGGGCCCTGCTGAGCTCTCCCTTCCCTCCATGCATGGGACAGAGCCCCTTCCCAGGGTCAGAGGGACAGTGGATTCCAAAACCTGAGAATCTGAAACTCTCCTCACCCACGAGCCTCCGGGAAAGCTCAGCCTTTGTAGTAACTGCCCGTGAGGGTCAGAGAGGCCGTGATGTCTAAGGAGGAAAGAAAGCAGACGCACAAAGGGCAGAGGGCGAAAACAGCAAGGAGAAGAGATGCCTTACCCAGGGAAGCCACGTTTGCATAATTCTCCAGCATCACCTCCCGGTACAGAGCCCTCTGTGAAGGGTCCAGGATGACCCATTCGTTCTGCGTGAAGTACACGGCCACGTCCTCAAAGGTCACTGGCTCCTGAGACAGCAGGTTCCTGCTGAAGCCCTGTGTGAGGGCCGAGGAGCCTAAGTATCGGGGCAGAGACCCACGGGGTAGGTGGCATTGCCAAGGACAGCTCTCGGGGGCCCCCTCCCCCCCGCGGGGGGCAGCCGGCGGCCAGCACTGCCCTCAGCCACAGGCCAGCCCAGGACTCCCTGCAGTCCTCCCCACCGACAGCCCTTCCTTCACCTGCTCACCTCTGTGCTGACTCTGCCGGGCCAGGGTCTACGTGCCTGTCGGCCCCTGCGGTTCCCTTCCAGGGGTTTTGCGTGTCCGTGCACAGGGGACAGCGGTATAAACACAGCCCATAGCACTTCACTCCCTCCCGAATCTCACTGAAGTGACAATAACACAACGGCCCAGCAGGAGAAGAGTCAGACAGACTAGGCGCATGAACAGAATTTCAGAAGGATGAATAGCAGCTAAATTGGAGGAGCAGAGAAAGCTGAACCGTAACCGCCAGCAGAGGGGGAAGCCAACAAAACCAAAGATGAGCTCAGGATTTTTATTTATTTATTTATTTATTTTTATTTATTTATTTTTTTCCAACGTTTATTTATTTTTGGGACAGAGAGAGACAGAGCATGAACGGGGGAGGGGCAGAGAGAGAGGGAGACACAGAATCGGAAACAGGCTCCAGGCTCTGAGCCATCAGCCCAGAGCCTGACGCGGGGCTCGAACTCACGGACCGCGAGATCGTGACCTGGCTGAAGTCGGACGCTTAATCGACTGCGCCACCCAGGCGCCCCTGAGCTCAGGATTTTTAAAGTGTGCTCTGCTTTTTAAAACTTGATAAAATATTCTATCCGTTTAAAAACACCAGGGAGGAGTGAGGAGCCACAGAGTACTTAAGGCAGTAAATGAAAAATACCTACCCAGAGGCGTATCACTGAGCAGTCGCGGAAAAATGAGACCATTAAAGCAAAACAAAACAAAACAAAACAAAACAACCTAGGGGTGCCTGGGCAGTTCAGTCGGTTAAGCGTCCCACTTAAAATTTCAGCTCAGGTCCTGATCTCGCGGTTCAGGAGTTTGAGCCCCGCACTGGGCTCCATGCGGACAGTGCAAAACCTGCCTGGGATTCTGTCTCCCTCTCTCTCTGCCCCTCCCCCGCTCGCTCTGTACCTCTCTCTTTCTCTCAATAAATAAACATTAAAAAAAACAAAACAAAAAACTAAAGGCTTCCAGAGCAGGAAAAACAACACACACAAGAGGACTGGGGAGTCGAGATGGCAACAGACTACTCAGCGAAAACAAACAGGGAAACGTTTTCTTTTGTTTTGTTTTAAGTCTTTGTTTATTTTTTAAATATATATTTTTTTAAGTAATCCCTACACCCAACGTGGGGCTTGAACTGACAACCCCGAGAGCAAGTCACACGCTCTACGGACTGAGCCAGCCGGGTGCCCCAAATGGGAAAACGTTTGTAAAAATGCTGAGTGAAAACTTCTGCTTCCCGTCCAGATGGAGTCAAAGGGATCGGGTTCATCCTGCCTAAACCGAGACAAGACAAATTACGTCAAACAGGTTCCCAGGTTAGCGACATCTGATGGCAATGAAGGACAACATTCCCCAAGAGATAGGAGATAAAGAGGTGAGCCCTAAGATTCCTCAAGCTTGTCTTGGAAGGGTTTCCAGGCTGCATCACAGGGAGGGGAAACGAGGCAAAGCCCAGCAGCTTCCCTGGTAGATTCTGAGGAGACCAAGACTGTGGGAGTTTAGAGGACAGGACACCACAGAGAGAGCTGCACAGAGAAGCAAACCCAGGGGGGTTATGGGCAGGGGTTCCCCAGAGTACTCAACAGAACAATGACCAGGGCCCTTTTCATCTGAAAAGACTGAAGGGCACAAAGCCTGGTGTTCACACAGGGCCAGTAAAAGTACCTATTTCCACTGGAAAAAATCCATAATTCATGGGCTATTGAATAGAGCTCTCAGGAAACTCTTGCCTCAGTCGTGGAGAATAATTATTTCTAGGCCATGCACCGCTCCAGATCCTAGTACCAAATCATAAAAATCAAGACCAAAAAGGATCAAATGTATTCCTAAGTAATTAAACTTTATTCCAGAAAACACTCAAGGGTATTTTGGGGGGGAGCACCTGGCAGGCTCAGTCAGCAGAGCATGTGACTCTTGATCTCAGGGTTGTAAGTTCGAGTGCCACATTGGGTGTAGAGATTACTTAAAAATAAAATCTAAAAAAAAAATTTTTTTTAAAGAATATTTTGGGGAAGTAAGGGCACCTGGGTGGTTCGGTCAGTTGAGCGTCCAACTTCAGCTCAGGTCATGGTCTCACAGTTTGTGGGTTCAAGCCCTGCATCGGGCTCTGTGCTGACAGCTCAGAGCCTGGAACCTGTTTCAGATTCTGTCTCTCGTTCTCTCTCTGCCCTTCCCCCACTCGTGCTCTATCTCTCTGTGTCTCTCAAAAATAAACAAAAGTAAAAAAAAAAAAATTAAAAAAAAAAAGAAGGTGGGAAAAGAGGAGTAAAGGGAACAAAGAACAGACGGGACAATTAGAAAACAAATACGAAGATGACAGACTCAAATCCAACCACATCATAAATAATCTAAACATCCCAAGAGGCAAACATTATAAACTCAGCCTACTATACGCTGACTTTAAGAAATGCGTATTACATATAAAGACAGGAATACGTTAAAAGCAAAAAGATGGGAAAAAATACACTAGCCAAAAAAAGCTGAAGTGGCTCTATTAATTTAAGGTAATGTAGATTTCAGAGCAAAGAATAGTAAGAGAGAAAGATAGTCATTCATAACCATAAAGGAATCAGGGCATCTAACGATCCTACATGCCGGGGCTCCTGGCTCGCTCAGTCCCGAGAGTATGCGACTCTTGATCTCGGGGTTGTGACTTCAAGCCCCTTGTTGGCTATAGAGACTACCTAAATAAATAAAACTTAAAAAACAAAAACATAAACAAAAACCCCCACAATCCTACATGTTTATACAGTTAGCAACAGAGCGTCGAAATACATGAAGCAAAAAACTGATGACACTGCAAGAGAAATAGACAAATCCATAATTGCAACTGGAAATTTCAATAACCCCTCTCAACGAGGATATAACAAACATGAACAATACTATTATCCAACTTGACTTAACGGACATTTACAGAACGCCCCATCCACAACAGCAGAATACACATTCTTTCCAGGTGTCCAAGGAACCTTTTGTAAGGTAGACCATACTCTGGGCTATAAAGAAGAAATCAGAAGGATCAAGTCAAACAAAGAGTGTTCACTAACCACAACAGAATTAAATTAGAAATAACAGAGGGGCGCCTGGGTGCCTCAGTCAGTTGAGCATCCAACTTCAGATCTCACAGTTCAGTTTGTGAGTTCAAGCCCGTCCTAGGCTCTGTGCTGACAGCTCAGACCCTGGAGCCTGCTCTGGATCCTGTGTGTCCCTCTCTCTCTGCCCCTCCCGGGCTCACCTCTGTCTCTCTCTCAAAAATAAATAAACATTAAACATTTTTTAAAGAAATAAATAAATAAACTAGAAATAACAGAGACGCAAGGAAAATTGCCAAATATTTATGAACTACATAACACACGTCTAAATAACACATAGATCGAAGAATAAAACAAAGAACTCAGAAAGTATTCTGAGCTGAATGAAAATGAAAACACAATGTACCGAAATGAAGGATGGTGCTAACACAGTACTTAGGAAGAAATTCATAGTGTTAAATGCCTGTGTTACAAAATTTAAAAAGAAAAAATGTCTTGAGCCAGTGACCTTTAGAATCTAGAGAAAGGTGACCTTCACCTTTTGGAATCTAGAGAAAGGTGACCTTCACCTTTAGAATCGAGAGAAAAAACAAATTTAACACAAACTTAGCAGAACAAACAAAATAAAGATCCAAGTGGAAATCAGTGACATAAAACAGAAAAATAGAGAAAATCAGCAAAACCAAAAGTAGTTCTTTGTGAAGATCAATGCAACTTCTAAATCTCTGGTCAGATGAATCAGAAAAAAAAGAGAAGAAATAAATTAGCAATATTAGTTACAAAAAAGGTGACCACTACAGATAATAAAAGGATAGTAATTATTATGAACAACTTTATGCCATTAATGTCCACAACGTAAAACGGACAAATTCCTTGAAAGACACAAATTACCAACACTCATTCAAGGAGAAACAGAATAGCCCTATATCTACAAAGGAACTGAAACTGTATTTTAAATTATTTTGTAACATTTTATTTATTTTTGGGAGAGTCAGAGACAGAATGGAGCGGGTAGGGGCAGAGAGAGAGGGAGACACAGAATCGGAAGCAGGCTCCAGGCTCTGAGCTGTCAGCACAGAGCCCGACGCGGGGTTTGAACTCACAAGCTGTGAGATCATTCCCTGAGCCGAAGTCGGACGCTCAACCGACGGAGCCACCCAGGCGCCCCCTGAAACTGTACTTTAAAACTTATCAGAAAGAAAACTCCACATCTAGATGATTTCACTGGTTACCAAACACCTAAGGAAGAAATGTAATCAGTTCTATGCAAATTCTTCCAAAATACTGACAAGGATGAAATACTTCCCATTCTATGGGACAAGGACATTACAAGAAAAGAAAACTGAAGATCAATACCTCTTACAAACATAGATGCAAAAATTCTACACAAAAACTTAACAAAATAGAATCCAAAATATAGTCAAAGAATAATACATCAAGACCAAGTAGTTTTTATCCAAGGAGTGCAAGGTTGGTTGAATATCTGAAAAAAAAAAAAAATCAATGTAATTTGCCACATTAAGAAACTAAAACAGGAAAATCATATAATCCTCTAAACCAACATAGGAAAAGCATGTGTCAAAATTCAAAATCCATTCCTGCAGCAAGCTAGGCATAGAAGAGAACTTTCTCAATCTGATAAAGGGCATTTACAGAAAACAAAACAAAACAAACCCTATGGTGAGGATCATTCTTAATAGTGAAATACTGAATGCTTTCACCCTAAGGTCAAGAATAAGACAAAGATGCCTGCTCTCACCACCTCTACTCAACATTGAAATGGAGGTTCTGGCTAGTGCAGTTAGGCAAGAAAAAGGAATAAAAGGTATCCAGACAGGAAAGAAAGAAAGACAATTGTTTTCATTTGTAGATGGCATGTCTCTGTAAACATCCAGCGGAATCTACCAAAAAGTAATGGCAATACTAGAATTACTTTATCCATGGAAGGACTTCAATTTGTGGACAGAGGTGAAAAGGGTCCTCACTGTATGCAATGATGCAAATTTCCCGTTTAATGAATTTCTACTTTTCAGCCTCGATTGCCAAACCTATCCCAATCAATCCCCTACACTTGTTTTTCCATCCTGATCATGTCTTCGTTTGGGCCTTCTCATCTGTCCGTCCCTCTCAACTCATCCTCCCCTGTCCAAACACACCCGATGGTGACAGATGCAAATGAAAGATACAAGCCTGCGAAACAGTAAGGAACCTTGGGAACAAGCCCCATGTGCACCTGTGAAACTCCCCGCCGCCTGCGGGCTGTCAGCGCTTTTCTTGCAGAACTCCCTACCGGATATTTTTACTTTGCTCGTAGAGCAAAGCACCAGCTACGGAGCAAACCCAGCCAGGTCCAAACCAGTGTGCTCCGAGAGCCAACCCCCCCACCCCCTCCCCCCCCAGTGCCGAACTTCCACGATTTTCCCCTCATTATAATACTAAAAATCATGCCCAGGGGCCCAGATTCAACACGATCATTACGCACGCGATGCATGAAGAAACATGACCTTGAAGTGCGCAGGTGCTAATAAATCCCTGCCTCTACATGCGTAGACAGCCCCCTCTTCCCACCGAAGTACCTTTAAAAAAAACTCTCCCCGACCTCTCCTCGGACAGTCAGCCTGAGGATTCTTCCCTTTGTGCTGCTCTTCTGCGCTCGAGCATAAGCCCCAATAAAGCCTTTCTTGGGACTTTACATTTTGGGTCCCGTCTCGTTTCTACCCACGCTGGGTCCAAGGACCCCAGTCCAGGAACACCTGCACAACTCAGGCTCCGGATGCAGGCTGACAGCTGCTCTCTTGACATCAGAGGGTGGAAGCGCCGGTTACGGGAGGGGAGAGGGGGGAGCGACAGAGGCGGAGAGGAGGCTCGCTCACCTGGTGCCACGTGATCTGGAGCATGGCTGGGGTCCCCGTTTCACACGCCCTCGGGGTTCGAGGTGAGACAGAAGAGAAAATAAAGGACGGGCAGGACAGCTGCTGCCGCGCACCCCGCAAACGCCGTCTGTCCGCCGGGGGCTCCCTGCGTCCTGGAACCCCTCTCACCACAGAGGCACAGGGATCGGAGAACCGAGCATTGAAGAACTCCGCGGGGATGCGACCCCGGTAGCCCGTTCCCGGGACGCGGAGCCCAGGCGACCGCTGACGCCGCGCGCCCCGGACGCAGGGAACGCGCGAGAAGGCGGTCGGCCAGGGCTCCCGGGAAAGCTTAGGACCCGCGCCGCCGGAAGCGCGTAGGGCCGTTTCCCCTCCTCTCTAGGAAGCTGCAAACTTCCCGGTCTCCGTGGTTCCCCAGCCCGGCGGCAACGGCCACGGTCTCTACTCCGGGAAACGTCGAGCCAGAGTTACCGGCTCCAGGCTCGGGTCCTGCAGCGCCCCCTCGCGGCAGCTCCTCCGGAAGATGTCGTCTAGCCAGCTCGGGCCACAGACCAGTTGCACAGGCCACAGACGGGGAATCACCCAGGGTTCCTTGGCGTTTGCCACTTCTGGCAGCCCTTCCAGCTATTGAAGGGACCATTGCTCCACCTGTGCCAAAGCCTGCCTGGGTTCTGTGGCTGCGCTGCAGTAGGGGGAAGAGTGGGACCCATCACTCAACAGCCAACTGGGTGTTGGTTGAGAGCATTGACTACCTAGGTCCACGAACCTGGCTGTACCACTTCTTAGCTGTGGGAGGAGCAGCAAATTTCTTTACCTGTTTCCTTATCTGCGAAATGGGTATGATAGTGATACCGACTTCAAAGGGCTTTTGAGGTTGAATAATTAAGTGAGTTAGTGGGTTGGCAAAGTAATTATAGTAGTTCCTGGCACACGGTAAGTGCTTGCGAGTTGTTTGGTTTTCTAATTGTGTTTTTGCTTTTGAAGATACAAGTGCTGCTGGGACTGCCACTATGTGGCACCGTTTAGGAAAAAACCTATTAACATTTAGCGTTAGACCCCTTTCCCACCCTATCCCTGGATGTATGTTCCAGGCCCCGCCTGGAAACAGATTTCAGTTGATGGCTCAGCAGCCTTCCCTGTGAATACTGTGTCCCTCATATTAAGCTAAATGTTTTATATAGCTCGATCCCTGCCAGCCTTCAAAGACTTGTCAGGGTACCCCCCTGCACAGATAGACCTGCCAATGGGAGAGCTCCGTGATGGGTCTTCATTACATATTTGCAATCCAAGCAAATGTCTCCATCCTATCTCAAGAAGCTCTTCTTGGAGGCTGTCCGTGGGTTTTGTCAGTGGGTGAGTGGCCGAACCTGGTCTGTTTGGGACCCCAGGAGCCAGGTGATCTTCAGCCTTGGCTACATTCCCTGTTTTCCAAGATTAGAAGGAATGATTTGAGCATTCTGGAAGCTGAGCAAGGAGAGGAGCCTAGAGATTCAGTATGCATCCTTTGACAATCCCCGTTTTCTAGAACTGGGTGGATCATTCCTGCCCCTTCAGCTTTGCATGGTGTCCCTGAAAGAAGGACATCTATGGTTCACCAGTTTGAGAAAACGCACTTCCAGATTTCTGCCTGGGTGGGGGGAAGGAGAATCACACGGCTACATGGAATCAGGGAAAGGATCTGGGATCAGGCTGAGACAGGGAAACTAAAGAGACCCCGTGAAAGCTGCTTTTTCACTCCTTTTCCTGCTTCTATTCTTGTTAGAACCTACATCCCTCCCTTATTGCAGGCATTATAGAACAATGTACGTCCTCCTTGTAAAGGTCAAGGATTTAATTTCTCTGGCGTCTTCCAACACAACAGATAACATCTAAGAACCAAGTGGAGTCATGTGAAAGTTTTCCAGGACCAATGACTCACCAAGACCCCTGGTCCCAGGGCGTAAGTGAATTAGGGAGGACACTTCAATACTCATCTTTGTTCCTTGGATTACTAAGAAGACAGGTATACGAGACAACTGTCTTCGATAAAAACGCCAGGCTCCAAGCAAAGCCAAGACTCGTTTTCCTTCTCTTTCCTTTTGGAGTCACCCAGACACTCTGTATGTATCTATACTCTGTCTCTGTGGTCTTCAATAAACTCTGCTCTCATCTTGTCTTGGCTCACATTTGATTTCCATTCTGGGTGAAGCCAAGGACCCTCTTGGCTGGTCCCGTGGGACCCCTGCTGGGTCCTTGGACCCAGCCAGGCTGCATTAAGGACTTTTAAACAAGATCAGGGACAGCTGAGTGGCTCTGTCGGTTAAGCATCTGGCTTGATGTCGGTTAAGCGTTCGGCTCGGGTCATGATCCCATGGTTCGTGAGTTCGAGCGCTGCATCAGGCTCTGCGCTGACAGCACGGAGGCTGCTTGGGAATTAGGTCTCCCTCTTTCTGCCCCTCCCCTGCTTGCTCTCTCTCTCTCTCTCTCTCAAAATAAATAAAAATAAACTTAAAAAAAAACACAAGAGCATCTTCCCTATGAGGGCAATGTGTTTAAAAACAAAAAGACTTAAGGCACTTATTGTAAGTCAAACTATCATACTATTAATATCCGTCGGAAAGATTTTATACATTTCTAAGCTCTATTATAAATTATGCCAGAACACAAATTTTATTGAGATAAACACAATTATTTCAACATTTGATGTAACACAAAAAGTCATTCTTTTCATTAATAACTCTGCAAAATGGCTGTGTGAACATCTTCATTTAGCATTTTCTTAGGAAGCGTTACATACAACATACTTGAGACTTTACAAGAGCACATGGGTGGCTCAGTCGGTTAAGTGTCTGACTTAGGCTCAGGTCATGATCTCACAGTTCGTGAGATGGAGCCCTGCGTTGGGCTCTCTGGAGTCTGCTTCACATTCTGTGTGTGTGTGTGTGTGTGTGTGTGTGTGTGTGTGTGTGTGTGTGTGTGTCTTTCTCTCTCTGCCCCTCCCCTACTTGTGGACCAGTCCTCCCTCTTTCTTTCAAAAATGAATAAACTTAAAAAAATATTTTAAAAAAGATTTTACAAAGCATATGTAGAATATTTAATGTCCATTTATCTGAACATTTATACCAAAAAAAGTACAGACAAAGAAATCTGAAACTGATGGAAACGATGTCAAATTATCACTGCTATAAGCTAGCAAATGACAAATGCCCTGAGAAAGCTTCATGCAACATTTACATATGGTTAGGGAAGATTTAACTAGCGAAGTTTTACAAAATCCTATGGGAAATAAGGTAACCACAGAAAGCAGAAGGTGCAGCACAGCTCAGCAGAGCCTTACGGGGTCCTGGCATACCAGGTGAACTTGGTATATACCCAGTGTATCAGACAGATGCAGCTCAAGTTACACATAGAGGATCCTCAAGTGGGTCCTTCTGTGTTGGAGGAACTCATCTTTTGTGAGCCATGCTTTCATACTCAAGGTAAGCTAATCAGAATTTACACACAAATGTGTGCACTTCTATGTCAAGGAATGTTTACACATTCTGGGCCCTTTTGGTCCCTGCAACACAGCCAGAATCTGTCAGGTGGCAATAATGATTGCAGTGCCCAGATGTCACCCAACAATATCTCTATCTCATTCCAGCAACTCAGAAAGACCTTTTCCCTATGCCATGTAAACAGTGCTCGCTGCAGAGCCAAATGGTATACAAAGATTATATTTCTTATATTGCACAACTTTTTCAAAATTCCTAGTTGCTTTTCTATTTTCACTGCTTGACTTTATGATAGCCTAGGTTTTCCACAAACCCTCCTTGGTATTGTTGCCTGGTGAACTGGGGAGACCCTGGGCCCTGGGGCCTTGACCCAGCCAGACCCAAAAGAGTTGCTGACAGTTCTTGGTCTTGTCATGAGAATGAATTCAAAGACAGACACACAGCACAGTAGACAAGTGACACAAGTGGAAAAGTTTATTAAAGCGAGAAGTACACTCAAGATATGAGAGTGGGCAAGAGAAAGAGAGAGGGAGAGTTGCATGCCCAAGGGATTCAGTTTCTATCTTTGATTGACAGTTGTTAACTAGGGGTGTAATATTCATTAGCTGGGGAAGGAAGCAGTGTTTAGAGCTTTTTCTTCTAATTTGATCAGGAGTTTCCTGTCATGGCATCCGCCATCTTGGGTCTGTCTGTTTTTTTTTGTTTTTTTTTTTTTT